TACTCGAGTCCAATCACCCGGGTAACATCCCACCGGTTGGGTGTTGTGACCGGTACACGCATAGGTCTAAGGAACAAAAAACTGAGCTTGCCATATCTTCTCAGGGGAGCCCCTATCGCGCATGAGAGCGAACGTGGAATAGAATACAAATACAAGTACCAGTACTTGTATGCTATTAGTACAAGTGAATTGCCTATCGAACGGGAGTCAGATAGCCGAGACGTTTGGATTCCGCGCCCACGCGGAGCTGAGCGAAAAATATTTGACGAGTGATAAGGCGTGACCTCCATGTCCGGTTTACACGCTCTAGACTTCAACCCCTGCCAAAGAATGGCGGTACGCCCCATTCCGGGCAGGAAGTGAAAAAAAATAAACACTGTAAGTCGGGGCACAGTGTGAGCGCTCGGCGGCCAGATGGGGAATCCGAAGAGCGCTTTGACCCAATCTCCCCCATAGCAAAGCTGAGGGATCAATGGGGCGGATGAAGGGTGGGATACCGTAATCATTTAGGGTTAATATCCCACACTCTCGGGGTCGGGAGTCTCCACAGTTGTTGAGAATCTGGGGGATGTCTTAGGATCGCATGGCAAACCTGAACTTTTTGATTTAACGGTCAATCGCGGTATCACCTCGGTCCCACGACACTGTACGAGCACAGTACTCGTATCATTTCGTTTTTGTCAATTTTATTTTTCTCCAGATGATTGTATGAGAATTCCTGTTGGAGCAGCTACGTGCCGGTACCCTACCGTCTGTACACCAGTAAGTTCGGGGAGATGTCGGTAGGGCATGCACGGTACTAGTATCTGGTATTTTGGCTACGATACGGCACCGCATGTAGTCCTCAGCTTTGTGCTTTTCTCTTACCATCTTGACGTACTGTACCCGAGGCTCGGCGGGTGCTGGGGACAAGCGACGAACAGGGATAACACAACAGGGGGGGCAACGAACAGGAGGGATAGCAGCAACCCTACCAAATTTCTTACTTGCCACAAGATTTTTGGTATACTCATTAGTACGGTTTACCGTCCCCCTCTGTTCACTACCCCCCTTACTACGCTCGAGTACCGGTACGATACTGTGTCTTTTCGTAAGGGCATGCCCAATTTCCCCTCCCGATTTGCTTAAATTGTGGCGATTTGGCGGTCTTCTTACCCTCTAGTTGGCTCAGCTGCCCTTGGCTCCGATCCGACTTTGACTAAGAAGTATGGTCCTGTACTCGAGTATAGTACTCGTACAAGTACTTGTGCCTCCCAGTTTCGTCCCGAGAGCATCTTCTTGCCCTTTTAAGACGAATGTCCGTAAAAACCGAGGGAGTGAAAGAAGAAGAAAAAAATACCTAAATGGTCGCATGTGGTAGGTAACACATGGGCTGGCCGACCAACTCTCGCGTCACGACCTTGAGAGAAAAGGTCTTTAGGGTTTCGGAAAGATCCATTGTGAATTCTCAGCACAAGTACGGAGGAGTGACCGAGGGGGGGATGAAATTCAGCAGAAGAGAAAATATTGTCTTGGACGAAGCCTGTGAGGAGGAAGGTGTTGTATGAGTACTTGTACAGTGCTGGTACCTGTAAGTGTCACCCTTCCAGGAGCTCAACTACCGTAGCGACTTAATGCACGAAGGGACGCACGCAACAGCTGACCAGCGCCCTCACCTGTGCACAACCACGAACGCACATGAGCTTCCACACGGCTTACCATACCCCCCGCACAGCTACCCACCACTGCGCGATCGCTGGAGTCCCAACCAGCCGATACGGTACCCACACTTGTCTCCCCATCTCACGCTGTTGGGGTTACTCCACCAGCTCATCCCCCTCGCTTGACCGCCGAACAGTGGGCTAGCTGGAGAGCTTCGCTGCAATTCCAATATCGCGATCCAGAAGCATATCGCTATCAGCGAGTCGAACGTATATCGCGTTCTATTGAGGATGTGGGGCGTTCAGCCGTACTCGGATGGACAGTTGATCCGTGAACACCGTCGTATTGGCCAAACTGCGTACCGGTAGATACCCCTTCTGGTAAATAAAACATCGCGAAGCGTTCACGGAATCTGTCCTCTTTGTGTTATTATCAAAAGGCCCAGCCGCGTATGGCCATTCATTTGGGAATGTTCACGGACTAACTCTAATATCCGAGTATCTTCTCGTAAGCGTCGATGGTCGTACCGTAGGACTGCAGGTGTACCTGTACGTACCCGAGTGCCCGTACGGGTGCAAGTATCCTACACGCAGCGCTCGCACAGAGTCCCGGAGCACTCGATTCCATTCCAGTACGGGCGCTCAGATGCGCACAGATAGCCTGCCATACAAATACGAGTGCAAGTAAACTATTGATCCATGCGCTCCGGTGCAGGTACAAGTGCTCAAGTAAATTACTCGCACAGTATCTTTTCGTGCCGGATAGGTGCACACGAGTGTTATTTATTGCCCTACTCGTACTATTTCTTTCATGGAAGAATACGAAGAATCAATCGACACAGCGCAGTCCGATCGATGCGATGGTTGCGATTCCCGAAAGCGTTCAGTGATATTCATTGTTTCCCCCGTTTAGGACGTCTCCTTCCCGCTTTACTTCCCCACCAATTAGCGAGCTGACTCTGCATAACCTCGAGCAACTCCACCTCCCTCTCTTGATCTTTTTAAAAAATGGTAACCTTGCACCTGGGAGTTTTCTCGCTCAATAATAATGGAACGGTAGCAAATTGCGCTCGGGAGATGGGCACGAACCTTTATGACGCGCTTGCACCCTTCTTTGCGATCATCGTCTAATTGGACGGTCTACCGTAGTACCGGTAACTTTATTCGATGTTAACAGAGACAGGATCAACATACAGTACTCGAGTACTGTATCATACTCTACTCTAGCATGTCATGGCATCGGACCTGAATACTAGAAGTAGCTAGAGTCTACGCTACGGTAGGACGTTGGAATTGCCTCTCCTAGTAAGGCTTGTCATTGAAGTGGAGTATTTTCCTTTTTTTCGCTTGTCTCGTAGGCGGAAAGCCTGTTTCTTCCTCTCTGTCTGCCCCCCTTAATCCAAAGGGGGGAATTCTGGACGACTTAGCACCAGGTCCAACTACAGTACGGTAGTGAAATGCGCGACTCCGTGTGCTCAGGGGGTGCCAACTTCGAAGGGAGCCCCTAGGATATTTTTGACTCCTGGGTTCCCGGAAATCGTGGATCATCGTCGGAAGTAGAAATCATGGGAAGGGCTTCAAAGCTTTGTTCACTCCTGTGCTTTTCATTCATGAAACTTCGGTACAGGAAAGTGCAGAATCAGGCGAACCCTCGAAGGACCCCGAATGGGCTGCGGTGGGGTTAGTAGTGGACTGCGAGTATGATAGGCTTTATAATATTATGATACTGGACCCCCCAAACTAAACCCTACCGTACAGTAGTGCACCCCAGATGGGAAGAATGCCTCCCCTACACCCATCTTATCTGATTCATCGTGGGATCCCAGATACCGGTAATCGGAGTGCGCGCCGGGTGCTACCGTATGCCATTGAGTTGCCTGGTCCGATAAGATCTGGCATTCTTTTGTTTTTGATGTCCCTCACCGGTATTGTAGAGGGGGGGTTGCACAACTCACCTTTTGCCGTGCTCTTCGCCCCCTTTTCCCGGTGGGGGGGGGGGAAGATTTTGTAGCACCTGGCACACATGGATCAGCTACAGTATTCCGCATTCTGCGAGTGCCAGTACTAGTACTCGTACAAGTAAGTACTGGTACAGTTATGGTCGGAGATCTGGACAGAGCTCGCAGTGACAAATGAGGACGTTCGGAATGTTATCTCGTCAATTACCCAACACGAGTTTCGTTGGTGGCGACGTTTATATTTAGAACGGCTCTTGGGCTGATTGGGGAAAGAAGGGAGGGAGGGATAGAGTGAGACGCGAGAACATTTTCTCCACAGACAAACAAACACCGGTCGCCGACAAGAGATTTTTTTCACAGGTTCGGTACCTTTCTTTTCCATTCGCGATTTTTCCCTTTCCCTCTCATACCCTGTTGTTTTTTTCACAGCGGGGCAGGTGTACAAGTACAGTAGAGTGCTGGTACAGTAGGTGCAGTACCGGTGGTTGTTTACTCCTCACTGTTACTACCGGTACCGTATATGCACTGCTCGCTGTGGCCTTCCTGTCGTGCCGACCCACCCCCGTAGCAGGGGTGACCCAAGTCTCCACTATAAGTTATAAGTACGGTACTTGTACGAGCGTCGTAGATGCTACTTGCACGAGTACTCGTACTGGCCCACTTGGCTCGGGTGATACAAACGTGTTCCGTCGTCTACGAGTATAATGTACCTGCAGTCAGGAAAGAAGGCGAGATGGGAGGGAATACGGTAGCATGGGACATAGGGCACAGCACTTCTTTTCTCTTTTCTGCGGCAAGAGTTCTGCACAGTGACGTTGGGGCAAAATAACATTCTTTGGCCTGGGTATTATAGGAGGGGGTGGGAGGTAGGCGAGTGGGGTTGTGCAGCAGGAGAAGGGGTGGTTCTCATCCGGGAGAGTTTGACGGGCGAAACTGGGGCAGTGGGTGTACTACAGTACTTGAGTATAAGGTTGCTAATGGCGGCTTCATACTGCTACATGTAGAATGGTCTCGTTTATTGCGGTTCCGAACACGAGTTGGGGTATCGCGGGCGAGTGATGTTGCATGGAGGGTGCGTAGAACTCCCGCCATTTAAGCATGTCATGCATGTCACTTCTACCGAGGGGAACACTACTCGTAAACCTAGAGTTTGTGATACCGTCTTAGACCTTCCACCCCGGCATGTTTTGAGACTGTGCCTGGCACTGGTGTGATGGGGCTAACCTATTGCACCACTGTATACCAACTATGCATGAATTATCTCGCTGATGATACTGCACTGGAGAGTGCGTGCTGTGCGGGTGCGGTATGATTGTAATGCATCATTCCCTCCCACTACCGCTCTGGCCTCCCGCTCCCCAACTGTTAGTTTTGCCCTTAGTGTTGGAAAAATGGGGCTGCGGTAGACGCTCGCGTTTACAATGAACTGAACATCATACCGAAAACTGAAAAGAAAAAAAAAAACTCCTTGTAAGTTCAACTCTATCTCTGTACCCGTCTCACCTCGGCTGTCCGACCTGCATAATGTTTATGCCATGCACTGCCTGTTACAAAATGCCCCTTCATCACCGCAAGACAGGGAATCTGTCGCGCTGGTATGGGTTAATTCTCCTGTTCTGCTTATGTTATTGATACTTTAACTTAGGAGCACTGTTTTATGAGGGAAGAATAGTTGAATCGAGTACGGTAGCGTTACCGCCTGGAATAGAGGGGGTGGGGAAAGGGGGAAAAAAGGAGAAGAGAGGGTAGACGTTTCGTGCTCGGGACACTGGATAGACAGGTGGGAGACTGTTATACAAGATTGCTACAGGACTGGAGCAGGTGAAACGGTAGTGCTCAAGTGGAGTTGTACAGTGACGCAGGTACCCGAGTAGGCAAGGGGGGCTAAGTTACATATGGTAGCAGGAAGGAAAGTTCAGGGAAAGAAAATAAAATAAAAATCGACCGCAGCCAAAACCGTCCAACCATCCGACCCAAGCCAGACAGGACCCCCCATCAAGCTTCAGGCGCCAATTAACAAACCCTCGGCGAGGGTCACTATGTTGGGGTCATAAGGAAAAAACAAAAACAAAAAAAATACCAATGTAACTTGAGAGTATTAACTCCATAAGGTGAAAAGAAATAAAATAAGGGATACCCAGAAAATCTACTCCGAGGACCTGGGTAACTCGAATCATAGCTGTTGCTTCTTCTTAAAAGTTCGCTCCCACCAATCAGCCAACGCTAATGCCGGGCCAGTCTTGTAACGCTATCGGAATCGTCAGCCGTCAATTCGCATTCCACTTCTAGGGATAAACCCATCGTGGGACTCAAATACCTTGTAAGTAACAACCCGACTCCCGTCGACTAATTCATCCGGCTCAGAGTCAATATGATACCCTAGCGCGGGCAATACCTTCGCAAAACCAACCCAGTACAGCACACCGAAGGCGAGGACTGAGGTCCCGACGGAGGGGGCAACGTAGGATCTGATTTCCTCGGTTTTGGCAGGCCACCAGATCAAGATTATAATGAAGACATTGAGGGTTATGTAGAGGGCTACTAATCCGTATAGCTTCTTAATGCTCACGATGGCGGGTCGCCATTCGCTGAACTTATCGTGGAGGGGGAGGGCGATTAGACCGAGGGATACGAAGACTGTCGCAAGAGGGGGAGGGGGTTAGTTTCAGGGGGAACTTGTCATATACATCCAAGGTTATAGGGGGCGGAGACGGATGGGAATATAGTGTAACGTACTTCCGATCCAAGTGTGGCCGTATGTGAACAAGACACTGACTAGGTTGTAAGCCTCATCCTTGCGCGAGTAATTGGGTGCTTTAGCGTTGCGTTAGCGGTGGTAATTCTTTGAAAATACAGAATCCTCAACCAGGATCATGGAAACTTACTTGCTACAATGACGATCACGGTGAATATCCAGTGCAAGATGAGAGCACCAACGGGGGTTCCGTATGGACTGGTACTTGCCCAGAACTCTGAGAATGGCAGGATTCGCTGCTTCGCAATTTCCTGCTTGACTCGAGCATTTGCGTATGTTACCGCGACGACGTTTCCGAAGGCGGAGAGAGCAATGAGGACTTTGAGACCTCTGCTCACGAAGGGCCCGTTGCCGAAAACTTTTATGAAGAATTCGGCAGCGGCGGTGGAACCGGTTTCTATGAGTTCTTTTGTGGTACTGGCAGAAAACTAGGCACCGATATCAGTTCCAGTGTCTGTTAATAATTTGGCGTCTAGGTGACTATACATATGCGACGTTCGCAAGAATATATAGTAACGTGACCACTGTAAACGCTACCAAAGCTGCACGTTTGAAAGTCCGAGACTCATCACCCCGCGGTCTCTTGACCTCTGCGAGGACCTACTCGGGATTAGCATACTTCCCCCCGTTAAGCGCAAGATTAGAACCCACATAATTCGCGTTCTCCCACCCTTGATAGCTGTACAGCACGCTCAACATTGCGCTGGCATAAGCGTACGGCGATCCAGAGCTTTCTTCAAACGCATTCTGAAGGTTCTCTTTCCCGTAGGGGGTGTTCTTGTGATCACCGCTCCCGCCACCGCCCAGACATACGAACCCTGAAATCACCACGAACGTGAGCAGGCCAACCTTGTACGCTGCCAATGCATTGTTGACGAAGATTCCCATCTTGCGCGAGAATAGATGGAGGAGGCAAATAAATGTGATGCAGACTAATGCTACAAATCTCTGCAGTCGGTAATCTGGGCTCTGCTCGTTGGGGTTGAAAGCTACTAGCATGTGCTTTGCAAAGGCAATTGTGTTTGCTGCGGTGTTTCCCAGCAAGACGAAGAAGATGGCGAACATGCAACTCGCAATGTACTTCGGGCGTGTGTATGCCTCATCTAGCTATTTTGCATATTAGCTCGTATTCGCAATCGGAGGTAGAGAGGCGAAGGGCGTGAGAGCTACATAGACCAATTCACCGCCATTGAATGGCAATGCAACACCAAATTCCAGATAGACGAATAATCTGAAAATCCCGATAACATTAGAACGACATAAGCTTCAATCATCCCTCGTGGATCCCTCACCCAGTAAGCGTCATAACCCCACCGGCAACCCAAAGAAACAGCGCCCCTCCTTTCGACCCCGTCAGCTTCAATATCGCCGAAGGCTTCGAAAATATCCCGGTACCGATCATCTTGTTTATGATCAGCGCAGCCGTAGACATGTACCCCAACTTCTGTTTCTCGGGAATCGGAGCGTAGTAAACCGCGTCCTTCCTTCTCTCTTCTCCTCCCGAACCCCGCCCGTCTTCCTCCTTGTGGATATGATCGCTGGGACACCCATCGCTGTTTGGTAGTTCAGGTAAACTCTCGACAGCAAGCGTATTCTTTTCTCGGCGAAAGTAGGATGGGAATGCGGAGCTCGCGGGGGATTGGGTCCTCGAAATGTCAGACGATATTTGCGACATCTCGATTCCTGTTTTGAGACCAACAGTTCTTATAGGCGATACTCTCTGCTTTTTCTTGCTCGCGCTTCTCGCCCTGGAAGCGCTTTCTCCCGCTACCCCTCTCGAAGTTTTTTCTCCTCCTGGGTTAAGGTTGTTGGTGGCGACGGAGCCGTGGTTGTGATTACGGTCTTTATTGTTTGATGGGCGAAGAGGCTCCTCTAGTTCTTCATAGGGCGGATTTTGGCGAAGATTAGGTGCAAATGAGGAGACCAGGTGTATCGGGGTCTTCGTGGTTCTTGTTAGAGGCATGGGGGCTACAAGTACCTGTCAGGCCCAAACCTGCCGCCTGCTGCCTGGTCGTATGTCTTCTTTGGTCTATCCACTCAAATGAGTGACCGTATTCACTTTTTCTTTTTCCTCGTATACTTCCCGCAGACGGGGATTTAAATACTCAGCCTCGCGTCTAGCAGGTTCATAATTTCGGCTTAGCGGCTGCATGGGATGGGGAGAAAGGGGAGGGGAGGTGTGCGCTTCGGGGCCTGGCTTTACGATTACGGTAACTGGAAGGGGGGGCCGAGATAATTATTCACGAGAAGGTAGTACTTGTACGAGTACTGCACTTGTATCACAATGTCGCCGGAATGCGAAGTATTTTTGCGGGAGAGATTGGGCGGCTGTCACAGCTATCCTGCACCTGGACTCTTTTCTCCCATCTTGCCGGAACATGCAGAGAAGTCCTCATATCTAAGGGGAGAGCCACTTGTAAGCGGATGGCTGGTGTTGAACAGGGTCATGAATAGAGGGAGAGCGCTGTACGAGTACAAGTAGGGTACGGCACTTGTACAGGCAGGGAGAGAAACGGGGAAGGGGGGAGACTCTTGTTTCTTCAGGAGGCTATTATTACTGGATTGCATGGTTTGGCAAGGGTTTTTGCTTCGAAAACTTTTGGCTGCCTAGCCCAGAATGGGAGGGGAAAGCTTTGTACAACGGTAGAGTACCCGATGGGGTGTGGGGTGTTCTTCGTAGGCGCTCTGTTGTCTCATTTTGCTACTACGAGTACTTGTACCGTATCCCTTCGCTTATTCCCGACAAGTAGTATTCATTCCTTGCCTTGTCACTCGGGTTTATTTTCGATTTCACAACCGCTGAAGGGTATGATACCGCTATGCATTTTACCGGTATCGTGCAGCACGGCGCTCGTGTAGTGCTACTGCACCAATGCGTACTAGTACCACGAATGTCGCTGCTCGTACTGGTACCTATAGCTGGCTATAAGTATCTGAGAATACGGCTCTCGTTACACGACCACATACCGTAGCCGGCGAAAGAAAAACCCGTCTCATTTTCCGATGCTTCATGCCAATTGCAAGTGCCAGACTCGCGGTGTGTGTGAGGAGGGGAGTGTGGGATGCACCCATAAGTTGGCCAACTGCCCCCTTTGGTACTGTAGATTTGGCTCGCATGATGCTGCAGTCGTAAAAGTAGGGCTTCTCCGACTTCGCTCGATCATTTGTGCGGCATCCATATTCTGTAGCGATCTCTTTCATCCAAGTTATCGGGGTAGATATCTCGCACCGGTTCCAACGATATTCCGCTTGCACTTTAGCTGGAAGCCCCCCCGCCTCCTCCGAGTGGTCCATGTCACGCCCGTGGCGGCACATCCCGGCCAACTTTCAGTGTATCCCATATCACTCTATTCTGCTCGAGTACACGTGTAAACCGGTAATAAGAGAGAGGAGAGATGAGTTAAGGGGGGTGATGCCTTGTGTGCCTTTCGATTCGGTTTTATTATCCGGTAGGTACGGTATCCATGTCCCACAATTTGGGGCGTACTGTACCCGTACGAGTACCGTACTTGCACTCGAGTACTCGTACAGCACCTATACCGTGTGGTTGGTGTTCTCTTGAATACCGTATCGCCATAGGATTGGTAGCCTTCCTCTCTCCACCATTCTCTTCCCCCGCCCTCCCCCGCTCCCCTCGATTGCCCCAGCCTCTGGCTGATAATAATGGTAGGGTCTTTACTTAGGCTGATTTTCCCAAAGCGGTGAGACGGCAAGGCGGCTTGTAGAGACCAAGCCTGAGAATACGGTAAGATGAATAAATCTTTAGCACCACCTAATAACTTGTCCCATCGTAAAAAAAAAAGCAAATATGCGTGCAGCGGCGTTTATGGTGGGTACCTGTATTGATACAAGTACGGTACTTTGGGATTTGAATTCCCAAAAATTTCCCCACCGGCATAGGATATTACCTGTACGAGTATGTTCCGCCACAGCGCTCCATCTTGGCTTTTTTTTTGTTTTTCTACTCTTACTTTGCCCATTAAGATCGACGTCGACTTTCCACGTTGACTTGCAAGGCTCCCATCAGTTTAAACCCCACGTTAGACGACTGAACCTTGATACAGTGCGCTGCTGCGCCCTACATACGCGCGCGCCGTTTTATTTTTTTCCCGTCCTTATTTACTGGACAAACGGACGGACATAAAGCCTTCAGTAGAGAGCTCTGCGGTCTCTGCGGTTACCGATGTCGTTCGTATTCGAGGGTTTCGGCGTTGGACTCACAGAGCATGTTCAAGCCCATGAACGAACAAGCGATATCCTGAGAACATATCTACACGGAATTATCCATGCACCCTGCCTGATCCTCTCTCTCGGGGGAGAGCTCGAGCGGCTGGGAGCTCTGCTCGGCCAGATTATTGATGAGAACAATAATCCCCATTCAACTATCCTGAGGATAGACAACAAAATTGCAGCGCACAAAATATTACAACTCGCTGTCACGGGCGTCAATGCCACGCTGGACGATGCCGAAAACCTATTGAGGAGCTGTAGGATACACGCTGCGCAGACGGAGAAATGGTGGGCGAACTTCGGCATGAAGATGAGGTTTAACGGGGGTGATCGGGGGCTTCTAAACGCACTGGAAGATATCAAGTATCACTGTTGGGTTTTTGAGATCGCCTATCGCGTGCTACGGAGGTTGGTAATTGACCAACTTCAGATCGCCCGCTCAGAGCCCACTAACGATTTCTATAGGGACCATATCGATGTTTTAATCGAAACCGCCGACCTTGTAGAGCAGTACTTGGAACAGCTATTATCTTTACTTACAACCGGTACCGGCGGTGTTGTGGATGACTCGATTATTATAAAATTCAACGAAAATTCTGCCATAAACGGAGGCACCTTTCCTAATGACTTTAAGATGGATACGGTTTTGAAGAGCTGCATGTACTGGATCTACAAAGCGAGCTCAGACATCAAGAATGCTGGAATATCTGGAACACCAACTGCAGAGGGATGGCTTAATCTCATCAAATCCTATTGGATATTTAGCAAAATTCGAGAAGACCCACGCTCGGAGCGGATGGTTAGGGAGTCGCAAGCAATCTTGGCATTAGTCTCAAATGTAAGAAGAACCCTATCCGAGTACCGTACCATATTGCGATCGCCAGGAACTTTTCTTAACAATAGCGGTAAATTAGGAAATCGCTTTTTCAATGAAGAGACTTCTGGAAGCTAAGGTTGAGCTGCCGGACTGGAATACTCTCAACAACCTCGGCGACTTCCGAATACTAATCGATGACGCTGACGAAGAAATTGAGTTGCCGGTCTCAGAAAAACACACCTCTAAACAGCACTCGCCAAAGCCACCAACAGAGAGCGCCCCCGGGGCTCCGAGTATACAAATGAGCAATGTTGCAGTCCACCCGGCGGAATATAGCACATATGAAAGACATTCGGCGAAGGGCCATCCCCTTGACGAGCTGGAGAATGCCTTTCACTCGCTCGGCGTCGTCACTCAAGAGACCCGACAAGAGAAAAGCCCTCAACACCTTAAAGAATCTCAGCAGCTGGTCTCAGAGCGCGAAGATACCCTACGGAGGATGAAAGGGTCATCGCTTGGCCGCTCAGATACACGTATTCTGAGGAAAAAGGTTCCAGAGGCAAAGCCGCCGTCATCATCTCCGGATACGGGGGCCAGCGGAGATGCCAGCCTAAGTTATGTAAATGGTTTGAGGATAGCGAAAAGTAAACAAGATGCTGGCTCTCAAGGTACCTCTACGATGGGCAAAAGTGGCTTCCTTGAAGAGAGGAGGCTCGATTCCCCAACTCTGGGAAATTTCTCAGCATCACGAAGTTCCGCTACGGTAAGTTCGACATCCTTGTCGCCAATAAACTCCATGCAATTCGGTGTCCCGCCACTGCAAACCTCCCGGTCAAAGGGGCGCAATGCAGCTCAGCAGATCTCATCATTGAAGCAAAACTATTACTCGACAAAGCCTTTGCCACCGCTGAATACTTCATCCACCCCCTTCTCCCCGTCAGATCTGAGCCCGGGGGTTTTTGGGGCGCATAGTGCCCGGGATTTTAGCGTCAGTCAATCTCAAGGGAGCTGGATTCCTCCTAAAAATGGGTATATGTCTCCTGTATCCCCGACTTATCCCTATGTGACTACCAGGAATTCTGGAGGCTCGTTTTCAGAGCCGATTGAGCATGGTGTTCGCCCCGGTGAAACGGAGGTTATGAAGGATGAGTTCAAGGCCTTGTAAGATGGCTCATCCCGGCGTCCACTGTGTTGTTGAGGTACTAACGCCCCTTACTGTAGGAATGTATTGGCTTCAGACTCGTGTGATCCCGATGGGAGTTGGGATGAATGTGTTGTCAGAATATTTCGAAACACAATGGGTGACCTGAGAGTTTTAACTCAGCGGGAGGGATCGACAGACCAACGTTTCGGTAATCCCCTCACTCCTCACTCTCTGAGTAAACGCTAATTTTATCAGTCGTCCTTAAGGATGCCGAATTAGTCCCTGAGTACGGGTATCACGAGAACTTTCCGGTGATCTTCATCCGAAAAGCCGGCATAGGCGGGTACTCCATTCAGTCAGGGTCAAAGGGCAAACCAACGCTTAGCTCCGCAGAATTATGCCCGATAACACTCTACTACCGGTTCAAGAACGTGGTGGACATGTTTCTCTTCCAGCTAGCTTTCACGGGGGAATCAGTGGAGGCAGATGTTCAAGCTGTCCGTACAGTCCGCTACAAGCGCGGACTTCTCGATGGCGACCATTGCAACTACAAGGCGAGGGTCCAACTTTGGAAGGAAGAAGTTGGTACCGCCATTTCTAGCGGAAATAGCTCAAGAGCTCCCTCGATAACCGGCACCCTTCGATCGAGGCCGAACAGGTCTTCCATCTTAAAGGTCCACTCGACAAGGTTGGTCATGTACTTGGATGGGATTATTATGACTTTGTTCAGTAGGGCCTCCCTCATGACCCTGTATCTCTGGGTGTTATCGGCTGATGGTTGGGGATAGTAACGGACGATATAACCATTGAGGCGAAGACCAGGAACCGATGCCTGAAGATAAGACCCAGCTCACACAAAGCTTTTGGAAACCCTGGCTCTATCAAAGCCTGTGTCATCGGAAACCGAGATTTATCCGGCGGGATCAGACTAGATATGGAGGGGCTGTTAATTGATGACCAACATGAGTTTGATGAGTTCAAGTGGTTCGAGATCGACTTTCAGACACTTGAGGGTGTGCTCCCCCCACCCCCATTTTCTGCTCCCACTTTTCATATAGTAACGTTTCTAGAAATGAAAAACTTCCACGAAGACTTCCATGAAGCGCTGCAAGAGAGGCGGAAGGAGCGTAAGAAAGTAGATGATTTGCAGAAGAAAGCGGCGGCTGGAACGAAATCTGGCGGGTGAGGTGTGGAGGAATTCTCTATTGACTTATTGATGGAGTTGGATCTATTTGCGATTTTTGGGGATCGAAAATTATTTCGTGTTTTCAGTGCTTTGACGATTCAATACCGTTTTAATTTAATACGTATCGGGCTGCAAGTGGGCTAAAACGGACAGATCCGACTATTCACACCTCAGCGGCTGAATCGGAGAGATTGAGGCACTGGGGCCCCGACATAACGTTCCGGGGATCACGTAGAATTCGACTTTACGTTTTCGACTTTACGTTTTCGAGTGATATTTCATGACTAAAATGATTCTCGATTCCGACGGAAAGAAGCCCACGCAAGTCCTTGCGGTAGCAGTATGGCCAGATTTTTGAGAGAAAATTCTATATCGTGGCAAGAGGTTCAAATGTCTGCCAGAGGTTCGGTGGGGGCGCTCGGTTCTTACATACCCCTGTTCCATCGTTTCCAACCGGAAACGACGAACCTGACAAAGTCAGGGCCCTTGCCCCCGATCAACAGCGCCGTCATACTATACCGGTGTGGTGCGAGGAAGGTTTTAGGGGTTTTCTGGTCATGTTTTCTGGGTTTTTGCCCATAGAATTTTCTGTTTGTGATGAGGCTTAGCAGGTGGCTGTTTTTCACCTGGAGGCATGGCCTTGCCTTCCTCAGAGAGAGTGGAGGAACGACATAGCGAGAACCCATCCTGTACAACCAACTCCACCACCTTCTTTACTGTTGTTTCTGGGTGTCGTTTTTCCCACTCCTTTCTTTTGCTCTCTCACCGTGTTATACTGTCAACTTTATCAGCATAATTTCTACACTCTTATCCGATTGAATATTACATTGTACAGTTACCACAATTGCACAGGTGTCAGCTCGGTCAATCACACCATCTAAATCCGGAAGTCAACCGAGACACTTCCACACCGGTATGATACTTACTTCTCTGGTGGACCATATTGTTTGCAAGGGCTAGGATCAAACTACGGGTTATCATACCCCGGAAAGCTCCGCCTATTACCGGTACTTTAATTTTAGCAATCCCTTTCCCGACGGGAGCCACGGCATCTGGTGCTGTGTATCTGCCGAGTTTCGGGGATCAGCTAAGCCTTCATGTGTATGATAGAATAGAGAAAACCGAGTGATTGTAACTAAGGTCTTGGGGGAAAAAAATGATAATACTGGCCATGCAGGTTTATGCTTCTCAATACCTGTAAGGTTGTAATCCCCTTGGTGCTGCCGTGGGCGTGATACCGTAAGTCCGGAGCGAAAATGGGCTGGCTCTCACTACCTGTCGGAGATAGCAAAACTCATCCCTCATCAATCGACTCAAAATCTCAAGGTTGGCTATTCTTTGTCTCGGGCGTCAAACGCCGAAATGGCGATCTAACCCACAGCGACGAATGGAGCCTTCTTCCACAGCTTATCCCCCCAGTTAATACGTTCTTTGCAATTGAAAACCAAATCAAGCGTCCCCCTTGCGAGTTTTAGCCTGGGGGGAGCACTGTTGCGGTATGGATGGCAGAGTTCGCTGATCAGTCACGCAATGATATGACGAACTGCTGGCCATCCTAGGCTTGAATGCATCGAAAGTGAAAAGGGCCCCAACAATCGACGAAAAAGCACTGCTGGGAAAGGACGACCTCGATATGATAGCAACCGCCAGGCGCCCCCTCCTCCACAAAACCGGCGGATTGAGCAAGATCACGGTGGGAGGCGTACCCATCCCATCGCCGAAACCCTGGAAGCGAGAGCAAACTTCTCTACTCCGGACAGTGGGACAAGCGCCTGATTCACATTAGAGGTGTCTGGAGCATTCCCTTTGCCTTAAGGGTACTTCCTCGGCCAACTCACGACGGGAAGCGGAGGAGAGGATCTGTGATACCTCTACCGCCCCTGGATGCCCGAAGGATATATGGCCGTTGCGGCGGGCTGCACCGCACTAGGGAAGCCTTATGGGGGTCATTGCTAAAAGAAGCAGGATATTTGGTTGGGGGATGGGCTAGACGTGATGAGGTTGTGATAGTAGTGCGGGGGGGTAGGGGGGTTGCAAGGGGGGCTGGCAGGAGCCGGCATGGAAAATTTGGCAGGCGATAGTTGACCTGGAAGCATTTGGCGAGAGCCACTGGCTGTCTTGGACGACGGACGATTCTGGATGGTGCAATGTGGTGAGCAGATTTTACGGGGTTTATTATTCGGATGAAGGGCCACGCACTGTCGGTATGATGGAAGGATTTCCGATAGATCTGGGTCCACAGATGCACAATTAGGTTCATCGGTAGCGTTGTCTAGGTTCGGAATGATGTAGGGATTGCGATGGTTTTTAAAAAAACCGGTCAACCGGAGGTTTAGCAAAATCCGTACCTGAAAACTTGTTTCACAGAAATACCGGAGAGTGCTCCCAGGAGCCCGACAGCCCTGTCTAGTATTCAATCTTCACAAACGAATACTTGAACCGGCCTTTCATCCATTCTGTCAAAACCTTTTCTCTCCAGGAGCATTTACTCACCGACGGGTTGCGGTGTTGGAATGTGGGACCACACCCGGACGATTCCCTTAAATTTAAGTGCGCCGCAGCTACTCGTACGGTACAATCAACCCCACAGCCTCATGATGTCAGACGATGTACTGCTAAAGTATCATCCGGGTATTGCGCCTGACTCGCCGCTTTACTGCGGGTACTGCCGACGGGGGAAAAGCACGCATCCATCACGCGGTCCCACGATTGAAATCCTCATTAAGTTACTCGAGTACATCCGAAGAGATGCTCGAGTATCATACTTGTGCACCTGACGCAACGGGTGAGGCCAAAATATCAATCGGTAGTCTAACCTGGTGAACAGCCAATTGATAACGCTTTGGAGCATGAGAGCTGTTTTAGGAGATGGATTGGTGGAGCATGGTACTCGTACTCGAGTATCATATCCCACTCCCCCACACTCACCACCTGAGTGCCAAGCCCTATGGAACTAAGCCGCATCGGGATGGGTCTTGTTCATGATGGGGAACAGGCTACGGGTGGCCCCAGATTTACCAACACTGGCCACCCCAGCAGTGTTTGTCAGGGTATTCCTGGTACTGGTTGTCGGCAGCTGCGATTGCCGCTCATAAGGGATCGGTAAGGCTCTCACCGGACGGGCCTCGGTCGCAATTCCGGGTTGGAAGCAGGCGGCCGCACTCGTATCGTGGTTAGGTCTGCTCTACTGTACGGTAGAGCATCGGCATGTCCCTTGGAATTGGCCTGATGATTCGGAGGGCGTCGGGATGGGGAGCATGAGAGACGGCGGCGTTAGTCAGATGGAGAGTTAGAATTACCCCGCATTTTGTCACACGACGCTGGGGTGTCTCAGCCGAACAAGGGCACACGGCTCATGGTCTGGTCAGATAACCTGTTATCTCCTCAGGCCTCCGTTAACCCTCACACCACGCCGAGCCCAATCGCTGCCTTTTCTTCCCTCCCACTCCCGCCCCTTTCTTTCCTTCTCTCCTCCCTCTCACATCCTTTCTGTCCACTCAAAAGCAGCCAGAAGGAAAATTCCACATCCGCAATCAAACACCATCAAACGCAAGTTGAGATTAGTCTCGATCGAACGGACACTCAGCAATAATGGCCGCTACTAAATCTAAGTCTGACGTCCCTCCTGAAAACGATGCTCCATCTAGCTCTAAGGCTGCCGCGAAGGGAAGCCATCGTAGGGGAAGCTCTTCCGTCACGGACGTTTACAAACCAGCTGAACTCAGTATGCCTTGCTGATTTATCGCTCTCGCTGGCAAGGATGCTAATCAATTCAAAGAGGACATCATCGGGGAGGAAGGAACCTTAAGAGTCGCCAAAGAGATTTCTAGGCTGAACTGGTTTGTCTTCCCCCTCTCCCCCTACTGCTGGTGACACGGCACGCGGCTAATGGGGCAATCTTTTTAGGAAACTGAATACCCACCCCTCGCATCTCGATGACTGGAAATCTCTCAAGGAAATCCCAATAACCACCCCCAAAGTCAAAGTGTTAGACGTTTACTTTCCTCTCGGATTGCATGTCACCGCCCGTGCGGGATCTTCCTCCACTGTTGGTGTTAGTGTTTATGACGTGCTGGTCGCGATTCACAAGCAGTTCAAGAAGAAGGTAGATACTCCGATTCCCCTACCTACCCCTTATGGAATGTTTACTAACTGGATAGGCGGATGACGAACTCGAGATGCCCGTGCTCGGAAACCTTGAGTGGGGCCGCTCTGAGGATCTCAGCAGCAAGGAGCACTGGCCTGCTGTTGTCCTTGTGGCACAGAAGAAGGAGGCGCCCGCAACTGGGAAGAAGAAGAACTAGTCTTCTTAATGCTCTTAGCTGTTAGATCACTTCTATAGAGGTTTTCTGAATAAATCCTGGCTGGTATCACCTGTGTATATTTTATTCGGGCGTGCCATGGGGGTCCGTGGTCGCCTTGTGTACAGTACTCGTAACCAGATATTCCCGCACCAAACTCAGGGACGATGACGGACTACGGTATGTTGAGTACTCGTACCATCTACGCAGGGAATTCCACTTTGCAGGTTTCCCCTTTTCTACCACTCACCCGAGCTTATGCTGGCTGTCTGCTCTGTTTCCAGCCCTCTAGGCGAGTGACATCACATGAGTAACCTATACGGGAACGTTTTGTCCGGAGGCTTCGACAGGTGCCGAGATCTGGGGGATTGGGACTGCGCTGTTTTTGGCTCTTAAGTTATGGCTCAGGCCTAGACTGGAAAGGTGCTGGATACGAATGGTTTGGCGAGTGTAGAATACGAACGTGCATGCTAATGCTCTAGATAAGCCCGAAGGCACATTGAAGCGGCGGTTGGGTGGGCTCCTGCATTGAAGAGAGATCTTGACTGGGGGAGATAGCCGGGCACCGAAATATAAATATTGTGTTACTGGGGCCGTAGTGTATTGGTTAACTGTACTAGGTACCATACGCAGTAGTATACAAGTCCGAGAAGGAAGCATCCCACAGGGGCTATAAAAAGAGTTTGTCACCCCTATGATCGAGCACTGTTGAGGTTATCCTGTTTGGGATCTGGGTCGATAATGTGTTGGTATGGCATCTGGTAGTTGAGAATTTGGGAGCGCGGCTCCCCGCGGTGTTGATAGTTCTTGGACCGCAGTCATCGTTGGGGGATGCAGCACAAGTACGGGCGGGGCCGTACCAAAATACGGTAGCCGAAATTCAAGGCCTTGTGGATTGCTATTTGCATCCCCACCACTTATTCAATCAGAATCAAGAATATATATCAACAGGTGGCTAACGAATTAGAGATTCTGAGATCTGTATTTTCATGATAAATCCCTCTGTTCCATGGCTAGCATTGACCAATTGGCACAACTAGCGCTCCAAAAATAGTGTTAAGCGACAAGAATTTGTATGGGAGCCAATAAAAAAAAAGGTGCACTAGAGTACTGTACTGTGCAGTGCATGTTTTAAAAATGGCGAATTTGGTGGAGACACAATCATTAACCTGACGTTACTGCATACCTTCCAATACCTCAGGCTACTGATTTCAATACTAAGAACCACTAGTTTTTAAAGAATTAATTTACTTGCAAAAATAGGTGGCTGAGTTCTGGCTTCGCGAAAGACCACATTTTTTCGTGTGAAAGCGGCCACCAACGATGACATTTGTCAAGGTACTGTAATTGTAGCACTCGATTTGGAGAAACTTCGTCTGGAATGTCCAAGCTTCCGGCGTAACGGCACCTTTCCCGGGCAGGAAGAGCCGTGTCCAAGAACAGAGAGGTATATTTCGTATTGGCGCTTAGGTACGCACGGATTCTTTTAACCATATATATATATTTTTTGGGACCCGCCTTTGGGTGCTTCCACTAGAGGTAAGTGGGTCTGCGTGCGCTAGAGTGCCTCTGCTAGCGTAGAGGGCTTCTGGTCTTGGCTCGATTTGTCTTGAAAACATGTCTCGAGATCCCGAGTGATGATTTGTGTTTCCTGGTGGTTTCCTCTGGGGAACTTTATCGTAACATATCGTATGATACCGACGAACTCGATTGCTTTGACGTGACAGCCCTAGGACACTGTGTGCCTAGATATCTATCTACAAGGTGGCCGTATGGGTGTGGCTTGCGCTCTGGGGAGTTTGTTCGCAGGGAGTGTTTTTTAAACCTACGGTTTAAAAGGAGATTGGGATCGTCCCCCCCTCGCCCCCCCTGAGGGGGGCGTTCCTTCATATATTATACCTCACTTCCGGAAAGCTCGCACAATATCCAGCTCCGCTGGCCACGTTTATAATCATCCCTCCGGGCATTTATGAAAGGGCATTAGATAAATTAGGCATATTCTTCTGAAGATAGTGCGCGGCGTGTTGGAATTCTGATGTAATGTAGTCCCCGTTGATTCACTTCACTTGTTATGTAAACTACATTTCGGACCACGGATATGGATTCACCTTGCGAACATAGCCCCCATGCGCTGCGGTAAGAGAGAGTTTTCGGGCTAATCTGTTGCTCTCTACTCCAGAGGACATATCGTAACTCTCGAATTGTTGCCCTTGGTAGCCGCCCTGTTGCGTAGAGAGGTGTCATACCGTTTTTCTGCCATATGCCATATGATGCGGTGTTTACCGGGAGGGGCCCCGAACCAGAGATAAGTTTCCTGGATATTTTATCATATGATACTGGGATATTGCTTCTTTGGGAGACCGATATGTCACTCTACTCGCCGCTTTCATGTGTGCTGTTTTCGCTGTGGCAAACCATTTGGAAGAGTGTGAAGATTTTCGCACCCTACTATCATACCAAGAGGCGACTAGGGTCCGCGTGTTTACCCTGGCGTTGGGTTGGTGGAATGATGTTCGGCACTGGATTGGCTTTGGTTTTCCCGACTTTTTTTTTTGCATATATTTCTCTGCAGTAACGATGAGTTATTCGCTAGTCAGTCATTTGTGAAAATGGGGTTAAAGGCTTTCACAGCGGATGAAACTGTTATGCATCGTATACGCCCCCCCCCCCCCCTCCTGCGATTAACCCTCGATGGGAACTATGGGGTCTTCTTGGTTCTGCGTAAGGTGGCCCAATCACAGCGCTTGACAGGGTAAAAGGCCGTTGGGAGAATTTGAGCTCTCAGACCGCAACAGAATTCGGGGACAGCGGGGTTTTTAGAGCTCTAGATATGTGGTGGTATATGAACTCGGGTTGCTAGAGTCATCCGGGGGTATGAATTGGATTTTCGACTTGGGATAGGGAGGCGCGCATTAAGGGACATCTCTTTTATCTCGGACAAAGATGTTCAGGTATTTCTCAAGCTACAGGAGACTCGCCTTTCTGAGGTAGCAGGTAGTTTTTAATGGTGATTCCGGTAACTTGGGACCAGGATACAAATGTCCCTGTGAAAGTCCGTTACTGGAGTAACGGTGTAGTTATTAGTCTAGTACTCTCCAATCAGCGAGAGCCGTTGAAAACACAACCCCTTTAGTCATACGTCGGTCTATATCTGAATTGGGCTATATGGGCCTTGCACATATAAACATCCACCTCAAGTAGTAATCTCTGGCACAAAACGAAGGATGACTAGTGAGAGAGGAAAGAGAAGTGCTCGTAAGCCCATTCTCTCTCTTACCCGTCCTCCTTTCCTTCGGGGGTGCCAAGCCCGTGGACGTCATCATCGAGCCCTCAGGACCCCTCGTAGAAAGCCAAGGTTTAAAATCAGAACGAGCCCACGATGCGGAAAAGAAGACTGAGGCCACCAAATGCCATTGGCCAACAGGCCTGATAAATCCTAATGGCTATGCATACTTCAGAACCGGGCTGAGGCTATCTTCCCATCAGACAACACCTAACGTTCCTTTCTGGCGGGGTTCCATATCTGGGTTGGCCCAAAAATTGGGGGCTACTGCTCTAGACCCCCAAGGCCCACTAGTAGAGGGTAGGGATGGACGGACTATCAGGGTGGCTAGAGGTGTAGAAGGGGGAGCTGAATCTAGAAAAAGGCATTGCGAACCGGTATAAAGAGAACACACGCGAGAGTGTTCTCGGCTCCTGCCAGAACCACAAGCAGGAAGTCGTTGGTGCAATCGGGGAGCGCTTGTCTAAGCCAGGAGCGGGGACAGAGGTGGCCGGGATGTTGGAGAGCACTGCGGAGCAATCGGTCATGAAAGGAGGGAAGAGTAAGGCTGCCTCCCCGTAGGCATACCTGCTCCCACCTTACGCTGAGGAGTCTGCGGGTGCTCCCGGACCAGTAATGGTAGCCCACCACACTTCCACTTGCCGAGGATCTTTGCAGCGCTGGGCAGTATGATATATTTGTCTAAAGTTTGGAAGCGGATTTTAGAGATATGTCTTTCCTTTGTTATCACGGATGTGGACAGAGGAGTTTGGACATGGGTGGAATGACAGAGATGGGTGTAGTGATCCATGGAGGGATCATGTTGCTTTGATGATGTTTTCCTTATACACCTGTCATTACTGATTAGCTAGAGTGGGAGTGAGATAGTGAGAGACGAAGTATGCACCTTTCCCAGTCATCCCACTCCAGCCAGTCTCTTTACCGTTCCGTTCTATTACCACTGCGCATTCTGATAGAAGCCTCCATCACAACACATACCCGTGAGGTTTTTTCAAGATAGGAAACTTGAATTTGGTAATATATCTCTAAGCGCTTATTACCTACGGTAGACGCAAGTTTGAAATTCGAGTTTTCCCGGGAGGTGACTTTAATTATTTGTCCACGGCTCAGAGCAACACGAGTGTTAGTGGGCCTAAAAATGGGGTTCGGAGATACCCAGAATCATAGTTGAGACCAGAGATCTTGACTAAGAGACCACGGGCATTTCCCAAAAGTAACCCTGAAAATGTACAAAGTAGCAACATAGATGTCTCTCCCGTGTAGCATTAAACGGTGCTAAACTGGCAATATAGATAATTTCAGATAACTAATTGTGATACTCGTAGGTTTTGTCGGAGACCTAACTCTCATGGGCTCAAACTTTGTATCTTCAGATTCCCGGCCAGCTACCATAGGCTAGGCAAGCGGGAGCATAATAATGATGCCGCAAAAACATGAGTGAGTTCCCAACTGCCATCATCCAGCCGGGAAAGCCCTATACCTCCAAATCCCAAATTCGAACCGAACAAAGAGATAGAGCATGACAGCCCTAGAATATCGTGGGCGTTTTTCTAATCCTGTTGGCATTCCCTGAGGTTCCGAATGAGGAAGTCGACGTAGCAGAGTTGTCAGTGATTAGAATTGGGGGGTTTACTTGAAAGGACCACTAGGTTACTCAATAATGCCACCTCTCCCGTGTCACCCAGCATCACTCCTACGAACTATGAAGAATTGAAGCAAATATTCCCCCCCCCCCCTCCAATTCCCCTCTTAACGTGTCTCTTTAGCACTCTCGCCTAGGGGGGTATAGTACTGTTTTTTAATGGAACCAGAATTAGTCGACAGATTTCAGTATTCGAGTAGACTTGGCAGCTGTATAGTGGATAGAATTATGGAATCAACGAGAATGGATGGCCTAAGCCAACTAATTGGGTACCAACCGGTTGGGCTGTTGGCATGGTATGGATGCTATGGTCCTCCGAGTATATGCCTTTTTTTCCCTCGGTCACAACCCGGGTAGACTATCACTGAGGCCTTATCCTGTAGGGCCATATAGAAGAGGCACCAAGCTATTGCGGCGCATCACGCTAACCTACAGCTTTTGGGACGGCTTTGGCTGTCATGCCCGTGGTGGATATACAAGTACATCCCCTCCCGAGCAGTTTGGTACAGTCGGGCCGTAAGCCGCCGGGACGTTCCTAGAACCAGGGTGTCTGATTCAGATTATAGCGCCGCACGCCGTAGGTTAATTCAGGCGAGAAATTATGGGACATTTTGGGAAGGAGCCAGGGGATCGCTCGTACAAATACGGTTCCACTTGCAAGCATGGTTGTTCCACACTTTCACCCACTACTCGAGCACTGCACCCGCAAACTGTCATCTCGAACCCGTCCAGTGACACCAAGGACCATCTATCACAAGAGTATTATGTGTCAGTCCCTCCTTCTTAAGGTCGCCTGCCGCTAACTACACATGGAGGGGAAAAAATAGAAACAATACGAGCATCGTACCGGTAGTGATAACGAAGAGGTCGGAAGGGTTGAAAGCTGTAATATTATTAGAGGAAAATCACAGGAATCATATCCATATCAATCTCATCGGTCCCAAATTTACACGTGTGGCATAGCACAGTACACGCACTTTCCATACACAACCACGACGGCTCAACACTAACACCAACTCTCACATTTTCGTCGCATCACACGTCTAGCCTGCCTTAACTACCCGTCGTAAGCCAATGCAATCTTCTTGTTTGCTATTTTCTGCTCTTGTCACCCTACCCTCCCTCCGCCAATACTGCTCGCCCCCATGGATCCGCGAACAATCCCCCCCTTCCCCACCCAACCGCCGGAAACCGTCAAGCCAGAAGTTAGCAGCTGGCGAGAGACGGTCCAGCTGCCTTCGATAACTCCCCCCGCGGAGATGATGCACTCCCCGACCCAGACCGACGGCAGTGATACAAACAACGATTACCTGGTGCAACCCTCCACGCGAACGCGGTCGTTTATCCATCACCACGGTACGAAGGAGCAGAAGGCTGGTCGGATATTCTGGAAATGCACATACTGTGAGGGGCACTGTGGCTATCGGCTCGCCCACTAGATCCCGTCGACTGACAAAAGTGCTGGTAGGCCCGAAGAGGTACCTGCTGTCTGGGGGGACGGCGAAGCCGGCCTCGCATCTCCGAGATGCACATCCACAAAAGCTCCGGGAATCATCACATCCTGGGCCCGCACCATCTACATCAGCCCGCGCAGCACCTAATCCCTTCCAAAACATGCAATCCACTGCCGAATTCGACACACTCTCGTGGTACGGATTTCTTTGCAGCTGGATTGTCGAATGCAACGTCCCATTCGAGATGGTGGGAAAGCCCGCGTTTCAGTTATTAATAAGGGAGTTTCGTAACGTAGCGTTACCACCGCCCGATATGATCAAAGGATGGATATTGGAGAGCTACGAATCTGCAAAGGGCGAGATGCGAATGCATTTGAAGGCTTCAGTAACCCGGATTCATTTCTCATTCACCAGGTGGATTAGCCCGGACAATACCCTAGGGCTCCTGGCTATAATTGGGCATTTCACTAGTGCCTCCGGAAAGCTTTGTAATGCCCTACTAGGGATTAAGAAAGTAAAGGACAACATGTTTCACGCCCAAGCCCTTGCGGAAATATTTTACGACGTAGCTAAAGAGTGAGTCTTCTGAGGCAGTGTCCCGGTGGATATTCTGATCTGATTTGGGGCCCAGATACGATATCATAGAAAAAATGGGGTATTTTCAGGTGGGGGATACACAGTTCGACGACTCCGTGTTAGTCGATCTTATGAAGCGGGACCAGAGGCCAGAGGAAGAGATACCCTCCCCGAACCGGTCGGTTCGTTGTGTTCGTAGTGACATGGATTCTTCGGTCAGGGCTTTCTGGTTTGGAGACAGGGAAGAAGCAGCGGTCAAGAAACTGTTCCAAGACACCATCAAGTCTACCAGAGACACATCGGCTGAATGGCGAGAACTCGGTCCTTGGGGAAAGTGTTTCAATATTGCTTTCCGGATACTTGACTCTCCCCGGAATAAGAGAGAGTTTGAGGAGCTTGGGGCAAAATCAATTTTGGAATATCACTTGAATGAGGGGCATTGGAGTTCTGCTCGGGCTATGCTCGACCGCTTCTTAGAGAATGAGCAGGTTGTGCACCAATTCATTTCACGCCATACAGAACTATCTCTTGATCGTTTATCAACTTCAGAGTGGGTCGAGCTGCGAGAAGTAAGGGGAATTCTCGGTACCTTCTTAGACTGTATACAGAGTGTAGAGGAACGGCCTGCCGGAACTCTTTACGACTTTATTCCCCAACTCGACTTTCTCGCGGGAAGGTATCGAGCGGTGGCAGAAAACCTTCCGCCCGATGCTCTGGTGTGTATCAATGCGCGACAAGGACTAGAGAAATTGATGGAGAGCTCGCATATGGCCTGGAAGGTGCCGGCCTGTGTGGCTGCCGTTGCGCTGGATCCAAGGTACAAATGGGATTACTTTGTCTACGGAGTGCAGCATGGAGAGTGTACATCCGAGGCTGTAGAGCAAGCTAAGGTCGAAGTGAGGAGATTATGGGAAAGGGAATACAAGAAGCCGGAAATCGCCTCGTCACCTACGCCTATGGCTATAGACGAGGGAAGTAGCAACAGCAGCAGCGCGGACAGTAGCGGTTCGGTAAAGCCTGCTAGGGGATTTCAGAACGACTTTCACGGCTGGCTAGAGATGCGACGAAGTGTACGCGGTGACCAGTATGACCGATTCAGCAACGCCCCATTGGACCCGTCTGTGGAAGACCCTTTTGAGTACTGGTGGGCTCAAGCACCAACCGATCCAGAGATTTCGGTTATGGGATTGGATATTTTCTCGATCCCAGCTATGGCCGCCGACACAAGTGGGTTCTTGATCACTGCTCCCCTGTAGAAATTGACGCTAATTCTCGGGGACAGAGCGGCTTTTCCTAGACTGCGAAAAGCCATTACTAGAAGCCTCAAGCGGTGTAGGGTTGGATGGAACCGAGGCGGTGGAATGTCTAAAGTCATGGAGAAAAAGTGGGCTTGTTGAGCCCATGTACAAAATCTCCGGGAGAGCGATCTCTTCACCAACACGGAGCAGCGAAGGCTTATAAAATGTGGTTGCTTGTAAATAACGGGCGGGAGTTGAACTGGGGGTTTTTTTTTCTTTCACGGGTTCTGGTGTCATAGAACTGTGCACATTTTCTTGTACTTTACGGGCGTCTTGTAGCTCGGGCATTTTTCTTCAATCGTTGGTTATGCATTCAAGGGTCTTTTTCTTTTCTTTTCTTGGGCGTCTGCTTTTAGCTGAAATCATAGACAGGCGATACGTATATTTTAGTGCCCCGATTCCAAAACATCATTAAACCCCGCAAGAACAGCTTGCAGTATCCGCTTGCCTTATTGGAAGAGTGGGTTGACGCCTGAGGACGTCCACTGCTATCCCGAGCGGAAATTGTCCCTATTTCTCCATTCGTCTGTTTCTGCCCTAAAACTGTGCTGGAAAAGGTAAGTTGAGAGAGCAGACGGCTGTGGGAGAATAGCTCAAAAGAAAATATAAACAGCAGACCCGGAGTATTTTGCATAAGATATATCAACACCGGGTCCATGACTGCATACAATACTATCCAGTAGGTTACCTTTCAGCCCTGTGCCCCCCCCCCCCATAGTAATACATCCTGCATATCCGAGAGCCGCCGCTAATACCGTACAGTACCTGTCCGTTTTCTCCCACACCCGCTCACTTTCCTCCCCCGCCGGAGTTCAGTTTTTCAGCTCAGCTTGACACGGGAGTAATTTCCCCGAAGAAGTCCCTGGAGGACACCGGCCCCTCGCCTTGAAATGTAGACTATCATGCTGGGACGTAAATTCGCTGTCCAAGCAATGTAATTTATCATATCAAAGGGGCCGTTCCCCTCCCCACCTTCTCCATTTCTGGAACTGCTGTACCCTAACGCACCTACCGCACACAACACACAATCGGGATACCCTACGCCTTACAAGCACACTATGAGCGAATCACACTCGGGGGGAAAATACACTGGTAGAATACCATACTTAATTCTGGCCATAAAGTATGTGAGAATGAGAGGGGTTTTTTTTTTCCGCTGATTGGGCGGTTGTGTAACGATAAAAGTACCCATAGACGCTAGTACATACTGGTACTGCATATACAGTACGCTCCTCAGTACCAGTTCCGAACTGGTGCAGATTACAACTCTGATTGGACTCTTGGCCTGCGGATGGAATGCACTCTGTTTACTATTTTGTCCCCCACAGTCTTCTGAAGGCGGACGGACGGGGATTAGGCTGACATAAGTCCACCTTTCTTAAAAAAAAAAAAAAATTCTTGGTGGACACTAGTTATGGATTTAGGCACCTTGAAAAATTTTGCCTTGGGGGGGGGGACCTTTACGGATGCTCGGGGGTGAGCAGAACCTCTGATATGTATCTATAGGTAAATTTACATTGACTCATGGACCGTCCCGTCCGATTAAGAAAAGATATACTCTTTTATATAACTTAATATATATATATATATTTTAAGAAGTGCATATTTGGTGGAAGTGGAGTAACTTTGTTCTTCCGAACTTGATATTCTACCGATACTAGTACCAGAACTGTGATCTGCTCGAGGATGGGGCTTTCGGTTCTTCAGCGAGTACAGGGGGTGTACAGTACGGTACCGTACGGTAATTTATAACAGTGTGGTAGCAACGCTTGAGATCATCGTGCGAGAGTTTCTGTTATGCTCTCAAATGCTTAGTTGGGGTCTTTATCTTGACTCCAATCCGGGCCCTAGTTAGGAGTGGTGGGTGCTATTGTTTTTCCCGTTCCAAACCATTCAGTAAAGACTTGTTAGAGAAGAAACGGTGGCGACAATAGGAGGTGATACAGACTAGCTATTTATGAACAGGACATGACATGATCGAGACTGCCCAGGCCCGCCACCCACACCGAGTTTCCGGACACCGCCAATCATGAAATAAAAGGCAATAGTGGACGAGGGGGCATGGAAGGGAACGAAGGTCTTTTGTCTATTTTCCACTATTGCTTCCTCTATGAGTTCTCATATGCCACTGTCGGTGATATATTTTTTCTTTCTTTTTCCTTATCTGCTACCCCTTTTTGTTACTAAATGGGGTTTTTCAAAGTGAAATTTGGTGTATATTGCTAATGAGTGACATATCGTGATGATGAGGCGGGAGCAGGGCGTGGACCAAGGTTTGGTCTCAGGTGGGAAGATTAGTCTTGTGCATTTAGAAGTTAGGTGATGGATATCGGTGAGTTGGTCTGCGCAAGGGGTGTGTACCGAGTGGTGAGTGATGGTTGGAAACGGGAAGTCTGGTAGGAGGAGGAGGGTTCTTGGCTTGTGCTCGCTCATCCGGACGAGGGGTTTTCGACTTGTTTACTTGTGCTGATAGCCGAGTCTGGTGCATCGCCTTCATGAGGCCTGGGCATCATATACATTGAACTTTTTTTTTCCTCCCTAAGGGGGAAGACGAAGTAGGGAAGTAAGTTGTGGAGCTTTCCCCGGAAAGTTTTGGAGTGAACATGAGGAGGAATGGGTGAATGGGTGATAGAGTTACAATCCTATGATACCATGTTACCAGCCTAACACGGGTGATGATTGGGTTGCTATCCGTGTATAGGGATACTATTGTATTGGGCAATATATTATTGGCAAAACTAGCGCTGTACCTCGCTTCACCGATTACGAGCGAGCAGTTGACTAAAAGAACCGGTCTAGCATCGTCGCTATACTTATACCCCGGTATGGCACAACTCTCTCCTTCCAAGTTTCAAAGGCGTTCTTCCCCTTTTCCTTCGTTCCTACAATACCGGTGTCGCTCCCTCCTTACAGTCTAGTACAGTACATCATTTCCCCGGATTCTGCAAGATCTACACGGCACGGTGCGGATTGGAGAAAAAACTCTGAATCAGTGCGACCTGGTCACATCATGTCAGTTACGTGACCCCTTGAAGCTCAGATCCCGGAACCGTGCCGTATTCATCATATGCATGGGCACTTGGGGTTTGGCGCTAGCCTATAGGCAACGTGATCTGCTGTTGTTCACCGACTCAGACTCGGCTTGCCGGCATGGCCAGGGGTATGCCGGTACAAAAGACGCGTTTAGGCGGAGTGGGGCTTTCTGATAGGAATCTCGCGTGATAAGTTTGAGGGCGGGGGGATTTATTCTTCATATTTGGGGTACCGGTACGAATCACCTTTTCGTGCAAGGAGTACAATCCCCTCCCTTGCTCCTACTTCTTATCGCGTTTTCCGTGGGGATAGGACGAAGCATGGTGGCTTTTACTCTGGAGTCCTAATTTACCTGTGTGAGTACCTATCGTGTACTCTTTTCTGATGGTTTTATTTACTCACGTAGCTCATTAATTAACCTAACTCGAGTCAGTGTTTCAGATGCAAAATGTTGGCGCGGGATAGTATGATACCCCAAGTATCCCAAGCAGCTGCGCAATATCCTTCTCAGGAATCTGCATTACCAGGAAAGATGCACTCTCTTGGGCAAGGAATACAGTGTGAGAGGCTCCTTAGACCTTGCACCGCTCAAGACATTGAGAAATACTATAGTACCATATTCATATTGGTACAAACTTGTCCTCCGTGTTCCCAGGCGAGCATGCGTCTATCGGTCTAACATCCAATCGCCTTACACCATAGATTCTTTGGCCTATCGGTAAAGCCACGAGTAGCGATATATAATACCTAACTTGCCGTATGAAATGAAGTTCCGGAAATTCATATAGCGCTCTCGGTGGCTGGTTGACTTTGAACTCCGGCTATTGGAGCGCAAACGTGGTGGCGTAGACTAACTTTATTAAACTTTTAATTTTGATTTTAGTATTCTGGGGGGAGGGAGTAGATTCATTGCCCATACCTGCATTTGGCTAACGGTATTGGAGGTGATCGTACAGTACTAGTATGGTTGTCTTGGACCGATCCGGCGATGTGCAGTACTATTGTTCTTCACGTTGAATCCTATAATCCTATATACAAACCGCGTCTCTAGCGATATATCTCTTTGAGTAAAAAAATTAAAAAAAAAAGTCATCCTCATACACAGCAATTCAGCGTACCGACCACCACCTCACTCACCCAACCGCTAGAATCACAAGTCTGAGCCGTCTCCGCTAACGGTTTTTAAGCGCTCCAGCACCCACCTTTTAACCCAAAGACCAACAGAAAGGGGAAACGAACGATATGCCTCGCCCCGGTTATAATTCCGCAATCCCAGGATACCGGCCCTCCGTCAATGCAGCCAAGCCGAATCTGATCAAATTGTTCAACACGCAATCGAGAACACTCTTCAAACACAAGACTGGAGGCTACGAGCACGTGGTTTTCCTGGGCATTTACTGGGAGGATGAAGATCTACCTTGCAGTCGAGAGGTATGTCGCTCTGAAGCGATTTCCTCAACTCAAGTCACCGAGCCCAGAATGGCTATGGGTGCGCTTCTGACATGGCTTGGATAACATAGGTATCTCTCCTGGCTTCATTCTTCGAAGCAGTGTTCCGGGCTAGATCAAAGATCTTTGCAATCCCTAAGATCAACAGTCAGAGCAGTCTCAATGCCATGATGTCCAAGTTCGTCATGGAGAATCAGGGTGAAGGTCGATTGCTAATAGTGTATTATGGCGGGCACGGGACTTCGAGTCGTGGGTTGGCACTTTGGGCAGCGTGAGTTCGGCGCTTCATGTTATCTCAATCCTTCTCATCGCAGCCCTTACAAATAATGAAATTTATCTAATCAAACTATCGAGTCACAGCTGGGGGACAAAACGGCACCCCCACCGTCCCTCCCCACCGACCGTCGACTGGTTCCGCACCCAGCCGATTCTCATGAGCCCCAATGACAGCGGCGACGTCCTTATCATAATCGACGCCTGTCACTCCTCCGCAGCTGCTGGCGCCCGTGGCTCTGTCTCGAATAGAAAAGTAGAACTAATTGCCGCTGCCACTGTGAATTCCTCCACCCCCGGTCCAGGCCATCACTCCTTCACCATTCACCTCATCCGCACAATGAAGGAGCTCATAATATCCGAAGGGAGGTTTTCGGTCTCGACGCTGAATCGGCATCTTCAGCTTCGGGAGGCATCTTTGCTTGCTACCCCTCATTATTCCGATCTGTCGGCCAACGACTTACCGAGTATCATGTTGTGCCCAGCGGACGTGGGTGCTGTGTCGGCCATACCACGTGATGAGAGGAAAAAGAAGGCCAAGACGTATTTGAATCTTGTGATTGGGATTAACCAGGAGGTTGATGAGAAGGTCCTCATGGAGATGGTTGCCTGGTTGAAGAAGTCGGCTCCTGGAGTTGTTTGTGAGTGTGAGATGCTGGATGTGTTGAGGAGGGTTGAGCGTGCTACTGTGGGGTCTCCGGGGTACGGAGCCAACATGGAGGAAGTGGTGTTGGATCCGGGGCTTTACCAGAGCTTGGGGCCATCTATAGATGCCGGTGATCTAGCTAATATTGCTATCGGAAGATGGGCAGAGTACTCAGGCACGTAAAGGTGCTTGGTTTGCTTCAGTGACAGCGCTTACAAGTTATGGATTTTGAATATTAGAGTATCATAGCCCTTCGACTTGACTTGGACATTATTTGTTCTTTTTTTTTTTTTTTCTTCTTCTTTGTGCTCTTCTAGACTTGGTATGATAGAGAAATTGTTAGTGAGTTGTGGTCAATCACGGAGGCCTCGGGAGTGTTGCAGGCGTCTTCTTTTGTTCTAGAGTTATGGTGATTTACAAAGATGTTTCTCCAAATGTCTTTTTATTATTATCGCACGGGTAGGCAAGGTAATGGGGGTAGACATGGAGGCAAAGCGATACGTGGGATGATCTAAGGATGGTGATGATTTTATGATAATATTATGTCTTATATACGCTACTGTCCCTACCGTTATTTTAGAAAGCGACGAAGACGAGAGCGAAATTTACGACCCACCTTTCGAACAAGTATAATACTCCATAGCGGTCAAATTCCCATTCGATCCCGTTCGCACTACCACTGCGCCATCTGCCAGAAGGCTAGGAGAGGTGTCTCGGCTCAAACAAATACTCTCCCTACGCTTAGCAAGGAATTGTTAGAAGCGATAACTTCCGGACAAGTTTTTAAGAGTCTTCCGCAAATAAATTGGATTTTGAGGTCTCATCTCCCAAGACTGCCAATCTCAGCGTTAGTACTAGTAGGCATAATGTTTAGCGGTTGGGTAATACAAAACTTAACCTTATAACCTAGCATCCTCTGCAATGGGTAGACGAGATTGGTCACTCAAGACACTGGTGCTTGAGTAAATGTTCAGTTTTGCACTGAGATTGCTCTAGGGGCTTAAAGTGGACCGGCGTTAACATCCACACCCCCGCCACCCCCAAACTCAACACACCTTCACCCCTCCAACTCCAATTCCCAGCCCCCGACGCATACTACCGACCAAATTAACGCCCGGAGAGGCCTAGGGAAACTGATGATACAATATCGTATTGCAGACCCCCACCCTGTCAACTTACTATTTAACCGCTTATAGCCAAACAACAACAGTCAACGAGTGACCAAACATGACGGGATTAGCTGCGTCGCTACCCAGAATGTGTCGGATACGCCCCGGGCCCTCCTGGCGTGTTTTCTCGCTCGCCAGCGCGAAGGAGGTGGGGTGCGGGGCGAAAGTTTTCCTAGAGTACGGTAGAGAGGATTATCGCATCCTTGTGAAACGCCAAAGCCTTCTTATGTAACGCCCTCTGCTCCTGCAAATCTTGTAGAAATCTGAGATATTATGCAACCCCAGGTTGCTCGCTACCGGTATCAGGTATCATGTCACCGACGGAATATGGAGTACTGTGAGATGGCGCGAGAGGCACCAGGACACCTGCTGTTCGAGGATAATACCAATCACGTCCGACGTGCTCACCGACAGCTGCTGCGAAAGCCGGAATGGTCGAGGGGGGGGGGGGGGGCTAGGACGCCCAGAAGCTCACCACTTTAGATTCGGGGGGGGGGGAACTACAACGATAAGACTCTCCTTTAGCCCTCGGTCGAGACGAATGAGAGGAAGAAAAATACAACAGATCCTACCAGGTGAGGCAACCACAACGCCCCAGTGAGATTCAATTAGTCCAGTTTTTATTGTGTCAGGCCGAATATACAACGAACATCTCACGACCTAGCTAGAATACTACTGCTACCACCACCACCGAACCGACTTCCCCTCCAACCCCTTGAATCTCCACCTGCGGTACTCATACCACTCACTTGGCCAACTTCACCCCTCCTTACAAGAAATCAAAAACATTCCCCACCACATCCCCAACCCTAGCCCTTCTCCACTACTACCGCCGCTTCCATCACAGCCAAGCATCCGGACTTCTTTTCCCTTTTCCGAGAGAGAGGGGAAGGAGATTCCTCGGGAGGAAGGCACCCCATGCCGAGTACCACATACCCGAAGCACACAGTCAGCAAGAGCAATGCCATGACAACCTTCTCTCACACACCCCATTGCCATTGCCATTCTACTGTACCTCCCACTCGGGGGCTATCGCGTATTAGGACTGCGGATAACTTTTAATCTCACACGGCCACTCGAGGGATAGTTCACCAGTGTTCTCTTCAAAACCAATCACAGACACTTTACAAACACCACTCAGTTCCCTAATGCGAAATTCCCCCCTACGCAAGAATCCGTATGATACACTGCTGCCAGCGCTTCGAAAGATAACGTCACTAATCCCAACCTTCAGAATTCTGAACCGAGAGTTTATTGACAAATTGAAATCGTCCCTGTACCCTCGGGCTGTCCTTGGCGTTGGGTGGGGGCTTTGGTTCTCTGTACAGAGTCACAATTAGAAACCCCACCTTTCAGTACCGGTATTTCTACTTCCCCACGTCAGAGGTTATAGATGTGCGTGACCGGGGGGTAACTCTACATCCTGCTAATGCCCTCCCGCACCTCACTATACAAACAGCGACGTGGAAATCCTCCTGGGTTCAGGTATGGTATATCAAATAGAGTGTGCCGTCTCCGCACATCATATTACCCATGAGTCAAGGCAACCGCGCCGCGACGCGATTTCACGGGAGCCCGCTAAGTAGTACCTAGGCTAGTATAGAATCACGGCTCCCACGGTGTGTCTGTTTTCTCTACTCCAGTGCTTGCTAGCATGGTTCATGCACACTACGGGTGCGGTAAAGAGCAGTGGTTGCGGGAGCACCGGCTGCCGGAACCGTTCAGGGTGTTCTGGATACCCACCGGTGGCCTGGCATAAAAGTGTCGTTGGTTCAATGCTGGGGAGCAATGTTAAGGCGATGCCACACACCCACCCCCAACACAGTACTTTCGTTCATGCACCAACCCACCACAATCCATCACTAGTGTACCTCGAAAATCATTACCCCGTCGGCTACTGCCACGACCCATTCTCACTACTCATGCGCAAACAGCTTTTCCTCATCCTCGCATCCGAAAATTCGCCTATATAAACGCCCCCAATAGCTTCGTAACTCGTTCCCAGATACACCAAGATAGAACCCATGGCGGCCCTAGAAAAAAGAAAAAAAATCCGTACATGTTAGAACCCCTAAGAGAGCAAGAAGGAATAATACAAAAGATTAAAGAGAGGGAAAGAAAAAAAGGCAAGACCCCAGAGCAATGTATACCATAATGGACGAAATAAAGTTGAGAGAAAGAGAGGAAAGGGAAAGGAGAAATAAGACGTTAGATTAAAAAAAAAGCCCCATCTATAACATTTACGACGTATCGGAACTTACGTTCAACTTTTCCAGCAGCGTGTCGAATCGGCTAAGGAGATCCGCTATCCGAAATGGCTTTGATATGGCATCATCCTGTGATGATTAGTCACCAGTTAGGGAAGTCGGGGGTGGAGCACAAGCGTGGGTCAAGGAAGGGAATATGTACCATTCCCACTTCAGTCATTTTCGCCACCTGCTCCGGGCGGGCGTTGGCGCTAATGCCCATTATAGGAACGTGTCGTCTGATCTTGCCGGATCTTTCCAGCTCCCTGATCTTCACTGTCGCTGTATTTCCATCCATCACGGGCATCTCCATGTCCTATTGTCACTGTATTAGAATCTTGACCGTCGCAGACAATGGGAGACTGACCATCAAAATAACGTCGATCTTGGTTGCCCCGTCATTCACGAATTCACTCTTGATAATAAAATCCAACGCCTCCTGCCCATTACCTGCGACGTGTGTCACACATCCTTCCTTCCCCAATTGCCTCCTCAGAACCTCCTGATTAATCAGATTATCTTCCACAATCAAGACCCCATAACTAATCTGCCGTCTTTTCTGAACCTCTTCCACTGATTTCGGTGGTGTGTAGTATTTTGTTGCTATTACCTCCGCCTTCGGCAGTCCGGAGTATTCCACAGGAGCTATATTCGGACCCAGGGAAGGCGCGGTGCTAGATTGGTGGGCTTTTATGTAGAATGAGAAGGAGCTACCTTTGCCCTCTTCAGAATAGACACCGATCTCTCCGCCCTGGATACGACAGAGCCGACGGCATATGAATAAGCCCAGACCTGAACCACCATAGGTAACATGCGTACGGGGTACATGCTCAAAGCGCTTGAACAGTTTTGTCTGCCACTCTTTGCTAATCCCAATACCGCTATCCTGTATAATGTCAAAAATCTGAACGCGCGGTAAATGCGAATGAAATACCTGAACAGTGACCAGAATGAATATAGGGTCACCGGTTCCCCATTCCTGGGCCATGTCTTGCGGAAGCCGATCCTCGGATTCCCGGTACATAACTTCGCCATGAGCTGTCGGCCTCTCCAAAGCCGCTCCTAGCTTGACAGTAACTTCACGTTTTCCGGCTTGCTGGGAGGTGAATTTGATAGCTTGAGAGGTCAGCAAACGTCCAACCTAAAAACTACAATCGCACGAACCGTTTGTCAAAAGATTCATCTAACCCAGCCACAAGTTAAAAACTGGTCATAGAGCTAGACTCAAAAGACCTACCAAAATCTGGGAGAACCGCGCTGGATCAGCCTTAACCCAATCAACACCTAGTTCCTTGTAGGATTCCTCGAGCTAGTCGCAACATCAGTTCAGGGATACACCGTATTAGAAATCAGGATGGTAGGACTCACGATGAACTCAGAAGCGATGCCCTTCACATGCAACTCGGACTGGAAAATCTTCATCAATTGGGATATGACCGCATGAATCTGTACATCTGTGGGCACGACACTTAGTAGCATCGAGTCTAGCTTACTCAGGGTAAGCACGTCGTCTATGATCCGCATCTATCCTCCGTGTCAGCTGAATACTGCCCCTCCCTTGTCACCCTCCTCTTAACACATAAAAACCAAAAACAGACTTCACATGATTGGTCTACAAACAGACCTGATGCTGCACGCAAACCAAAATTGTGGACGCTGAATCAATCATCTCCTCCAGATCCAAATTTCTATCCTCCCCTTTCTGATATGCAACCATTGCGCTCAGTATCCCGTCCGCACATTGCAGCGTTGCTGAGAATGGATTCCGAAGTTCATGACTGAATATGTCAATAAAGTTTTCCTGCTGGCGTCGCCGCTCAACAGCTTGTGTAGATAGCTGCCGCTGATATTCCTCGTTAAGTTTGGCGCTGGTGATGTCAACCAACGTTAAGATGTACCCTGTAACCTCTTCACCTTCGGAAGCCGGCGTTTTTCCGGTTTGCACTACAACAGAACAAGAGACCCAATACTTCCACCCTGGAGACCGCAAAGGGTCATTACCCAGCCTGCAATCAAGCTTCATGTCTGACCTTGTTGCGACTGCATTGTCAAAAGATTTGGAGACCCATTCCGCATCTCCCTTATAGACCATTTCTCGCCATGCATCGCTTTCATGGCCCACCGGAAACCCCAGTAGTTTTCGATACGCCTCATTCTCAAACCAGATTTTCCCATCAATATGGAATACCGCCAATCCCACTGATATCGTTTCAGCTGTGCGTGTGAAAAGCAGCTCACTCTTTCTGAGCTCTTCGGTTCGCTTCTCCAACTGCTCCTGCAACTCTACCGTCCGAGTGTGGGTTGCCCTTTCGCCCTCTTGGTCCACAGCCTTGGTGACTTCTGCCCTTAAAAGCCTTACTCTCCCCGTTGTCGTCGAAAGCTCCTTCATCAGTAATTCTATCCAGAGTCGACAATCTGCGTCAACAGGCCTCCGCGGATTCAACCCGAGAATGAGGAACCCTTGAGTGATTGAACTAGTGGTCTGAATTGGTATAATGGCAGCGCGAGTAGGCCGTTCGTCAAACCCTCTACACACAATGGTTTCACCCTTGGGTAAATTTTCCATATACTTAATCACGGCTGCGTTCTTTTCCCGGGCTTGAACCATTTCGTTGGCAAAATAGTAAGACCGCTCCTTGAGATCACACTTCCTGGGGGCCAAGATCCCACCTTCGAGGAAACCGATATTCCCCTCAAGAACGCAGTATTCGTTCTCGCTGCTAGCCCAGGAATCCTCATCAACTAGCGTGCGATAGATGAGCATAAAAGGAGAATCTAGGGGGTTATCATCGAAGGCCTCTAATGCTCTTCCCCAAAAGTTATCTTCGGCTAAATCCCTTACAGAAGCCATTAGCGTCCCCATCCTCCGCAGCGTTTCCATCCTCCTGATTGATATAATGTGTCGACTGAGTTCGAATGCTTGTTCCAGAACACCCTCGGGTGCACCGGAGTCGCCGATTATTGCGGATATTGTGAAATCAAAGTAGCATTCTTCAATCCAATCACCGCGGTCGAGAAATAATTGCTCCGCCTTCTTGATGACAGATCTCCCGTGACGGAATGCCCCATCAAGCAGTGGCATGAAATAATTCTGGAGCTCTGACCATCCCTCAGCAAACCCACTCCCAAGAATCCGAGGATCCTTGCTCTGGGCTATCTTGACCCATTGATCATTATACAAGATCATATACGATGGGCCCCAGTATATCGAGGTAGGGTAAGGCATGGCCATTATCGAGTTTGCCCATGTGCACAGTGAGCTCGGCCATCCGTCGATAGGGCCACAAGCCGTAGTAGACCTAGAAAAGTATTAGAAGGCACAAACCCTGGGGAAAACTCATACCACTTGACGTTCCCGAGATTGCGTAGGTGTCGAGTCGAGTTCCCGTACAAAGGGTTTCGGATCCAGTCCATCGATGGCCCAGCAAGTTGCGGATATAGTTTATGGCAAGCTAGTCCAGCCTCGGAGATAGCGGGTACTGGGGCGGATAACAGTCTATCCCCATCAGGATCGCCGGCCTCGACAACCGTGCCACCAACTTTGAAACCTCCCTTTTGGTTCACCGCTTCTTCCTCCTCTTTACCGTCCTCGAACCTAGCCCGCAGGTTATCACTTCCAGTATCAACGAGCTGCCCGCTTAAGCTCGTAATCCCAAAGTCTCCATTCACAAGCTTCTCATCATGCTTGCCGGCCCCATGCCCCCGAGGCCGCACCTCCACCTGAACCGCAACATCACCCTGAATACCCTCAAAAGCGCTCGGCCCAGGACCTCCCCGGCCCTGAAGATCGATGCCCAGTGGATCAGGGATGCGAGTGGCGACAATAGCCCTGATATCCTCAATCCCGATATCCATAGACCTGAACCTCCACAGTCCACCGTCGAATGTCCCACCCTCCCGCACGAACATCTCGTTCAGCAGATTGTCCACGGAGATGTTGGGGTCCGCCCGTGTGCGTAGCGTCCGATAGGCTTCATTCTCCCACAAAGGTTCCGGGCCCTCGAGCGAAGCGATGAGCGTAGGCCTTGGATCCGTTTCCAAAAACTTGACCAAGAGTTGAGATAACGAAGAGTCTGTCTTTTTCTTGGGCATTCTGAATACACCGGTGCAGGAAGGGCTTTAGTCCAGTACGGAGGAGTACGGGGGAAGGTGCGGGGGGGGGGGTGGGCAGGTAGGAAATGGGGAAGGGGGAGGGGGAGATACATACGCGTGGGCAGAGGGAAAAGTCCTCATCCTGATAAGCCAAAGTAGAGACCAACCGACTAACGATTAGACGATTATGGAGATAGTCCGTAGTGTAAGAGTTAGGAGAATTTAGACTCCTTACGGTTAGACTAGGGCAGTAATCTCTTAAGACGTCTCTTTTTTTTTCTCCTCCTCCTTTTTCTTTCCTTTTCATTTCACTTTTCTTCTTTTCCTCTCCCTCCCCCTTTGCCTCAGCTTTCACTTTCCCTTTCCTCCCCACAAGTACAATTCGGTGCTGTAACGTATCACATTTCCTTTTCTCCTCCTGTAGGGTAAGGAATCCCCGGGAATAAGAACCGAGATGCGTTGATTCGCCACAAGCCTCTGTGCGACCTTGCCAAGGGAAGGAATGGTACCCGCAGTGGGCAAAATACCGGTACTCAAGTACAAGTAGAGCCCGGCAAACCTGACATCATTATGGCCAAAAGTCTACAGTTTTCATGTTTGAATCTGTCCGTAGACATCATATCAGTACCGCAATTCGGTGTCATACGAGTGCCGGTATCGCTGCTTTTCGGTGGGCACAAGATGTCCACTCATCCGCGGTAGGGGCACTCGCGCACAACGACACCAGCATCAGAAACTCACAAAAGAGGAATTAATATCGGAGGATGTGGGGTAACAAGGTGCCGCAGTTCGGAATGGGGTGCCAGCAGCCCGTTTCTAACACCGGTATTCTACTCTTACTCGTACAGTATCAGTGAACGCCATGGAGCTTTGACCGCGCGATAAGCATCCAGCTGCAGAGTCTTGACGGGTTTCATCCTGACAGCTGGTGGCTGAACACCCACCGTCGGGCTATCTCACCAAGAGTTGGCCCACGGCCGGGTCGAGTTAGTGGGCAAAGTGAATCCCCTTCCGAGCTTTCCCACACCGGCACAAGGGGCCCTACAGCAACAGCGTTTTGTGGTGTCGTCTATTGGCACTACACAGTACCCCATCCGAGAGCGAGAGATTGTCATCGCGATGATGGACCCATCAACCGAAGCACCGTGTTCGTATCATACCGGTATCACGGCTTGCCCCGCAACGCCTCTACTGCACCGGTACAAGCGCCCGACTCAAGCATCCCTCGCTGATCCATCAAAAGAACCCACCGATTGTCCAACGTGCCCAAATGATACCCCGGAAGCAAGCCCCCATCACCCATGACCCATCACTTTTCGTCGATCCCCACAAAACTTTTCATTTTTCAGCATGCCCTCAGGTACAGTACGTTGTTTCAATCTTGTCCATCTCTGCGTTGATCTGGTATGCTCAATCGATCGGCAGGCAATCGAGGACAGGGTTCTAGGATGCATCGAACAGGGGATTTCAGGATGGGAAAGTTTTTTAGTTTTTTTTCGCCCTACTACAAGTGGTTGCCATTTATTGGTGGATGGGCTAGGCTAGGGGGTTAGGGGTAGGAGGTCACAACATTTTACTCGAAAAACGCCGGGATATTTTAATTAGCGCTCATGGTTGAATCCTAGAATCTGCTTGGGCACTATCCCCAATCTCCCAAAACCTACACAACTTTGGGATTACAGGAGTGCCAGTGCTCGGACGATGAATCACTTAAACCATTTCACATGGGCACTTTCGCTCCTGGGCGCCAGCCTACGAGCTGTTTTCCTCTACCGATATCCTACTTGCTAAGCATCAGCTCTAGATCTTGGATAACCCGAGTGGTATCAGGAATTGCGATGCTAGAGGTAGCCTGGTGACGGCTTTTAACGGCTCTCAAGCCTTCTCCACCGATACCGGTATGATACCCAGAGGATGGATGGCGTGCGCATCCGTTAGCATTTAAATATTCAAAACCTTTTGCCACACCGATCTCACACGGACAGTTCGCGCTTTCCCGCTACCGTTGCATACCGGTATCATACAACGCCTTATGTGGGTCGGGCTGGGCCGTCACAGGCCTGGCTCCTCGGGGCCAACTGGCTATCTAGGCTCCTTTTATTTTTGTTTTTTATCATCCCCTCTACTTTCTTTCTTGACTTTGGATTCCGTATGCATAGTGGAGAAGTGGATATCGTATGATATTAACTCGCAATAATATGGATAATCCAGCGGGCAGAGTGAAGCTCAACACTCGGATTGGAATGGCACTCAGCGCAATTAGCATTTTACTGCTAACAGACTAAAGATATACATGTCTACCTACTAACAGAATACTTATTTGCCTTTTGAGACTTTGACTATTAGCATTTGTCTAGGCTAAGTCTAGCTGATTGGGGGCCTGTTTGGCACGCCGGAAGAATGACATTTTTCTCACCTTTATCACTTTTCTTTCTCCGCAAAAATGTAACTAAATGGAGGGGTGTTTGGTATACACATGGGGATGGCATTTTTCTATATGGGGTATCATTTTTTTTATGGTGTCTTGTGCCATTTTTCAACGCAAATCACTACCGTAGGCAAACACATTGGAAAACCCTCGGGGTCCACATGCTAGATAACATTGATCACACCACAGGAGGCTATCGCAAGTCAGAAGGGGGGAAAAATAACACGATTTACGATTTACGAATCTAGCTATCACCTTTAAGTTTTTATTTCATCTCTATGCATTAAAAAGTGGAGGCGGTGTTGCCAAAACCATTCAGGAAAAATGCCATTTTCTTATCTGGTGGCGTGCCAACAGGGCCTAGATTTCACACAGAAAAAAAGGCAGACCACTCCGTAGGTTTGGGGGCATTAGCCTATATGATTGCGGGCTCGGTGCGGGCACTAGTGTCATACTAAGTCACAAGGTATGTACTTCCTTTGCCTTGATCTACTCGTACTATCTCATCCAACGGGGAAGTTGTAGGTGGTCAATTTGCGGAAGGTTAACGTATCGGGAGGAAAGGAACCACCTCCAGGCCTATATCCAGGTGTCAACGATCCTTCCTTCTTTCCGTTCCGCTCAAGCATAGTCTCCAGCAGAGCCAATAGTGGAGCCCCCCGAAGTACCCCATACATCACCCAGCAGTACTCGGCATAAGGTGAAGATCCTCGAGGACTGCGGGTATAAGTTTCTGGCGGGGTGGGTGATCACGATAGTTTTGGGGTCAATTTTGTCAGCAGTGGGGAAAGGGACTTGAAATTAGGTTGAGTCGCAGCAGCAGCAGCCAAGTCAAACAAGAAAGGAAAGATGAGTGACTGCTAATGAAGAAACGAAGCTATGATACCGAGGCTAAAGAGACCCTGTAGAGGCCTGAGCACAATTCACAAAGTTGTTATGCACTTTAGACAGTTAAAATACGGCCGTGCCCCATTAATTAGTTTTCGCATCACTTATGTAGTATCTCATTTTGGATAGACCAACTATATTGTTGCCACCCTGCCTGTTATGCTTAACCAAAAAACCTCACAAAATCATCACCCCCGGGAATCACAGAGTGTATCATAAGTCCGATGCTTGCCAGCGGGGGGCGATGGCGGTCTGCGGTACTGGTACCCTACACATACAAGAAAAGCAGTAAAGGAGTTTCTCACCGCCCCCCCCCCCCGGATTCACACCCCCCGGGAACATCCTGGCAAAGATTCCCGCCCGGCTAGCAAGGACAAGTACCCAAAAGGAATGGACTTCATTTCATAGGCCCAGGTGCGTGACCCCTGATGCATATAGGAAGATTCTGGTGTACAGGTGGCCCTTCACCCGCAGACCGGAGCGCTTCCCCCCGTGGTATTCTCCAAAGCACCCAGCCCATCCAGTCCCAGGTACTTTGTGTGGCACTAGATAACCTAATAGGACCAAGAGGCCCTGCCATGATACCCCATCCTTACAGTTGAGATCGTGGGAAAAAATCAGTGTTCCCAACCGTCCAGTCCGTCCGTCTTTGGGATAGGACGGGACGGACTATAACCGGTAGTCCGCCTTTCTGGCAGTTCTAGGACAGGTTACGACCGGGATTGGTAGGACTGGGCGGGTTACAGGGGACTACGCTCCTACTGCCTAATATCTTACGGAAAAAACGATAGCCCCCCGCAGCCTTCCGCAGCCCCCCGCATCCCCCCACATACCCCACCGCCCTCGATAGTCCCCGGTAGTCCCTAACGGTCCCTGGTAGTCCTCTGCCGTCTATGGTAGTGCCCCGCCGTCCCGGGAGGTCCCCCACGGTCCCCCTTGCCAACCATGTTTCACCCCGTGGGGCCCGCCGTCCTCTACTTTCACCGCCTGGTACGGACTGCACATGGCCGTCCCGTCTTGTCGAGGGTTCTTGACAGTCCCCCTGGGCCCTCGGATGGTTGGGGACACTGGAAAAAGTTATCAAACCCTTGTGCACAGGGTGTTGCTCACTACGACTCATCCAGAGAACCTTTAGAAACAGAATAGGGAAGTTGCTTATTCCAATAGTATAGCTTTACGCCCGCTAGATATCCCGTGAACTTCCTCCTCTAAAACACCCACCGGGTAGCTGGGACTTCTGATCCACAGAAAACCAGAAGCTTTGCTAGATTGAACAAGTTTTGTTCTGTGAATTTGTGAGATCGAGAAGGAGGTAAAGAAACCTCATTTCCTACTGGCAGAACGGAGCGGGGGTTTATATTCCCAAACCGAGAAACAAACAAATGGAAACAAAAAGGAGAATCGAGGTGGTAACATGAGAGCCTTGGAGGTAAGGAAAAAAAATCTTGAAAGGCCTCTGGACGAGGAAGGACGGATGAGAGCCTCGGAAGGGCTATGAATGACAAGTAATAAGGAAAAGGGGCCAGTTTTTAGTCGGATATGGTATGTTTGCGCAGTTTTGAGACGAGATGAGAAAAGTCAAATGGTGTCTAACATTAAAGAAGGTAGTGAGGAAAGCCGCCAGGCTAGAAATTAGATGAAAGGAAACTAGTCTGTTTAGCGGAAGAGCACTAAATCTATCATT